AAAAAAGATAAATGCTCTTCCACCCAGGGAAGTCTCAGTTAAAGGAAGCCCCCCCACCCCCACCCCCAAAAATAACCCCTCTCTTCTCTCTGAATGCACCTTTGTTTTATACAGAAGACTGTATCTCCCTGGTTTGCAAACTGTTTACTGGAATAAAGTCTCTTTTGGTTTCCTTAAAAGAAAATCTTTTTCAGTGGACTTGTTGACACAAGAGAGAGGTAGGGGGAGTTTACAGATATACAGAGGGAAGGCTATGAGAACATGGAGTAGAGAGAGAGGTGGACCCAAACCAATTAATGCCAACAACTACCAGAAGCTGAAAGAGACAAGGAACAGTTACTCTGCTAGAACCTCAAGAGAAAGTGTGGCCCTGCCAACACTTTAACTTTGGACTTCTGGACTCCAAAACTGTGAGAGATAAATTTTTGTTGTTTGGATCCACCTAGTTTGTAGGAATTTTGTATGACAGCCCTGAAAAACTAATACAATTATCCTTCCACCACTTTATTGATTTCTCTTTGCCTTCTACATGAATTTAATATTCTCTATAGACTTTCCAATTATCGAGATATTATATTGATAACATGGTGAGCTCACACAGGAAATAAAAAAAAAGCAGTCATATTCTCTAACATTATACAATACTTATACATGGCTAATCAGTTTTCTTTCACTTTTGTTGTTGTTATTGAGACGGAATCTTGCTCTGTTGCCTATGGTGGAGTGCAGTGGCATGATCTTGGCTCACTGCAACCTCTGCCTCTTGGGTTCAAGTGATTCTCCTGCCTCAGGCCCCTAGGTAGTTGGGATTACAGGCACCCTCCACCATGCAAGGCTAATTTGTGTATTTCTAGTAGAGATGGGTTTTCAACATCCTGTCCAGTCTGGTCTCAAAATCTGGGCCTCAAGTGATCCACCTGCGTTGGCCTCCCAAAGCGCTGAGATTATAGGTATGAGCCACCGTGCCCAGCCAGCTAATCACTTTTCACTCATTAATAATCACCAGTGGCCCCAAATCACCAAAAACTATTCAAAGTTTTGCCTCGATGAGTTGATTCTCTTCAAAGAGAATTCTCTTGTAGTTTAAGAATCAATACATGGAATTGAGGCTAACACATTTATTTCTATTTCACTCCGTAAGATAGCAGGTGGGGATCCTGGAGAGTAGGTCTCTTAACAAAGGTTGTAGTACAGGCTGTCTGCAAGGGTGACGGTCATGATGATGGTTTCCTACTTAGTTCATGTAAAGGAGTTGGAGAAGGAGTAAAACATCCTCTAGGAAGAGATGGTTGTGGTAGAGATTGTGGTGGGGATGGCCCTCTATCTGCCTGTAGAACTGGTTGAAAAGATCCTGAAGTCTACGAGCAGCCTGATGGTCCATGCTCCTGTAATACAAATAGTCAAATGTTTAAATGCTTGCAATAAAATATGCAGGCCAGACTATATAACAGTAGACATTTGTGGGCTTTTAAAGAGATTTTTACACCAAACTAATTAATTAATTATTTTTTTTGAGATGGAGTCTTGCCCTGTTGCCCAGGCTGGAGTGCAATGGTACGATCTCGGCTCACTGCAGCCTCCACCTCCTGGATTCAAATGATTCTCCTGCCTTAGCTTCCTGAGTACCTGGAATTACAGGCATACACCACCACACCTGGCTAATTTTTATATTTTTAGTAGAGACAGGGTTTCACCATGTGGCCAGGCTGGTCTCGAACTCCTGACCTCGGGATCCACCCACCTCAGCCTCCCAAAGTGCTGGGATTACAGGCGTGAGCCACTGCACCCGGCCCTAAACTTATTAATTTATTAACTTTCAAGGACCTAACAGTATATAGAAAAGACTTGTATAGAAATATAATAAGCATTTTAAACTCTACACAAGGACTACTTCTGCTAACACTCTAATGCTAGGAAAGTTGGTATCCTCATCAAAGGCCTTATGAAATACTACTACAACATAATGACAAATTAGATTTCATGATAAACATATGCAAAAAAATACTCTATATGTCTTGGACCTGTTAGAATAGTTGGTTCAAATATGGATAATTAATATAAGGTCACTAGTTTAATTTCCTTGGGAGCCAAATAAGTTTATACAAAGATTCTGTCTCATAGTGTCAGTGACCTAGCTGTCTAATAATAGTATCAATGAATAGAAAGTAACATCCATTTGCATGGTAATATATACTTGTCAGAGTTTTTACATCTATCATCTGTTTTGATCCTTATTATAATTCTGTTATGTAACTTGGGCAAGTAGTTACATTTCACTGCTTGCAGATGAGGAAACAAACTCCAAAAGTTTGAGTAAATGGACAAAGTCCACGCAGCGTGAAACATGATCAAGATTTGAATGCAATTCTTCATATACCTAATTCAGTTCCCTTTTTATTATAAAAGACTACCTCTTCATAAATGTATGTAATTTGTCATGAACTGAGGACAGAACCTTCAGGAATGCCCCAGTGAGGGGTAAAATAAGGGAAAGTAACTGAATTCTCAGAAATACAAAAGGGGCCAGGAGCAGTGGCTCATGTCTATAATCCCAGCACTTTGAGAGACTGAGTTGGGCATATCACTTGAGGTTAGTTGTTCGAGACCAGCCTGGCTAACATGGTGAAGTCCCATTTCTGCTAAACATACAAAAATTAGCTGGGAATGGTGGCAGGCACCTGTAATCCCAGCTAGTTGGGAGGCCGAGGCAGGAGAATCACTTGAACCTGGAAGGAAGAGGTTGCAGTGA